GCATAAATCTGAAATTGTTTGATTGATCTGGTCGCACCAGTGGAGAAGGGGATTGGGCCAAAGAATAAGCATGCCTGTTTTGATAAAGATCGGTCAATATTTAGCGGGTCAAATGGACCCTGACTTTTGTGTGAAAATTTTTCGTGGAAGTTGTGTAGGGTATCATATGGTCGGTGCCGTCCGACTATACTGCTCCGCTCACTGGTTTTTTATTGTGTAAATGTTGTTTCAATTAAAATTTTTCTATCAAAGGAAGGATCTTAAAATATATTTTTGAAAAGACAACCGAAACTATGGACTGGTCGAAACATGAAGCTAAAGAACTTTTCTGGATTTTTATTTTTTTACGTTTCTTTTCTCATGCAACATGTGGAGCTAAATTTTTACATTTTCCCAACAATATATTTTATATTAACTCGGTGTACAGGTGAATATCCCCCAACACTCCCAGACTTCAGCGCGCGCACACACACAGACTCACACCTGAAACATATGTTCACATGTGTGTAACTCGTTTCAATACACCTTTCAACACAATACTCAACATGTTGACACTGTTAACATTATTAACACCACTACCAGGCAAAGTATCACTACAACAACAATCACAACAATAAAAGCAAAAACTATAAAAAAGTCCTTTTCGACATGTTTCACCCATTCATGCTCGAACTGAAGAACGATGATGATGATGATAGGCGGAGAATGAGATGTAGGGAATCTTTATTCGACTTGTTGTGGTAAATCTTTAGGAGTTAAGTTGTTTGATATAAGAAAAAGAAGAGCGGGATGAGTGAGTGAGTTAAGACAATAGAAAAGTCATAACATTTACAATAGACCACAATAAAAAAAAAACGAAAAAAGAAAAATCCGTTTTCAATACAAAACAACAATTCACCTGGTGAACAGACAATAGAAAGTTAAACAAAACAGCAACAATAATATTTTTGTATTTTTTGCTATTCATGTATACGTTTGTGTGTGTGTGTGTGTGTAGATATCCTTAAGGCCATAAGCAACAGCCACCATATACCTCACAATCCATGAAGTCCTTTTTTGCTAGTTCTATGTCCGTCCCTACATACACCTTTTGCAAAACCAAAACAACGTCTTTATTGTTATTTTATAGACATGTATGAGAGAGAGAGTGTGTGTCCCTCTTTTTGTGTGTGTGTGTGTGTCCTCGCTGCTATTTGTTGTCATTCATAGCTCGTTTACAAACAAAACGTCCTTAGTCTCAATTGTCTGTTTTGCACAAAAAGGTGTTTTTTGATATGGAACGTCGTCATCGCCGTCGTTTTATGTTTCTTTCCATTTTCGCTTCGTCTTCGGGACATTCTCACCCATAACAATGTGTATGTGTGTGTGTGGTATGCCGCCATCACACACACGCGCTTAGCCGTGCGGTAACGATGTGCGAATTACAGGAAGGCATTCCAATAGAATAAAATTTAATGAAATGGAAGAAGTGCCAACTTCACATTTGTTTGCCAGCCAACCAACCGACCAGCGAGACATCTAGACGTCATACGCATCAGCAAACACATTCGCGCGCACACACACACACACTTACAGATACTTAACGCAATGTGTAAATGACCGCCGGCTACTAGAATGGGTTATAGTAAGCAAACAAGGGATCATTTATTTCAATTGACCTGTTTGACTGGAATTTTGGCAAAGAAGAAGGTGGACGTCACTTCATGAAGGACAACAACAATAAATTGAAATGCAAAATGAACATTCAGAAATGGAAGAAGGGAATTATATCTGATTAGAATCTATAGGAAGAACTCCGAATGGTAAGCCAACTAATTCATAAGATATTTCTATTGATAGAACATAACCTAGAAGATCATTATGTGGGTGAATTGGGCAAAAAAAAATACAGATATAAAACAGTCCCTTCTTAATTTTTTTCTTTTTAATATTTTTTTAATCTCCGGTTACTGTTTCTTATCTGTGGTCTAAGACAAAAAAGAATTTGTAAAGTCTACGCAATGAAAAATATATATTTTTTAAAATCTAAAATATATATTTTAAAAAATCCATGCCTTGAAAATATTTTTTAAAAAATCTAAGCCTTGGAAAGAATGTTTTTATACCCTTTTGCTATAATATGTTGTCAGGGTATTATAGCATTGTGCAGCCCCAAAAGTTTGTAACGCGAAATATTGGTCCTATACCCAGCTTTAAGTATACCGTCATATCTCGACTAGCTGAGTCGATCTAGACATGTGTGTCCGTCCGTCCATTATAATTTGTAAACACGATACAGGTCACAGTTATGGACCAATCTTCACGAAATTTTACATGTAGGATGGGTCCTGCCAATGAAGACCCCTATTGGTAAAGATCGGTTAATATTTAGGGGATGAAATGGACCAAATACTTAATTTTTGTCGGTTTTTGTGGTTGCTTCAGGGCCCGCAATTATGGTCCAAACATCTCGAATTTTCATATGGAGAACGGGAACGGGACAAAGTATAAGCATGCCTGTTTTGATAAAGATCGGTCAATATTTAGCGGGTCGAATGGACCCTGACTTTTGTGTGAAAAATGACAAAATTTGTATTCTATAGCGTATATATTTACCCCTGAAGGACATAGACCCGAGAAGTTGATATTATATCCAAGAGCAGTGGTTGACCTTTAAATTAATACCAATTATATTGCTGTATGTGCTCGGATGTGGGAGTTACGCCTAAATATTTACAAGTATCTCCGTATTTGTATATTATTTAGTAACCCATTATGACTCTAGAGAGCGGAACTATAGCGCTGATCGCTTTGAAATGTTCCATGAGGTTCCAGTTATGGTCAAGGATAACGCCTATAATTTTGAAGTGGACCGAAAACATTATTTTTGTGTTATTTTCGAGTCGATCTATACAACAAATGAAAGCCGAACATCACACCATAAACCACGGTGAAAAGAATCCGGACAATAGCTGTACTGAATACTCGTAATATTCGAAAAATATGTCAGTGAGAGGAAGAGGAGCTGTTTACCTCTAATCCGGAAAGAGGGTGCAAATATCACGAAATATTGCCCAGGCTCGGAATAAACATCCGCAGAAAATTTGAGTTCCGCTCACTGGTTTTAATATGCACCCTGAAAAATACTTGCACGCCTTGATTTAAAAAAATCTACGCCTTGAAAAATATTTTTTTAAAAATCTACGCCTTGAATTAAAAAAAACTGCGCCTTGAAAAATATTTTTTTAAAAATCTACGCCTTGAATTAAAAAAAACTGCGCCTTGAAAAATATTTTTTTAAAAATCTACGCCTTGATTTAAAAAAATCTACGCATTGGAAAATATTTTTTTAAAAATCTACGCTTTGAAAAATATTTTTTTAAAAATCTACGACTTGAAAAATATTTTTTTAAAAATCTACGCCTTGAAAAATATTTTTTTTTTTAAATCTACGCCTTGAAAAATATTTTTTTAAAAATCTACGCCTTGAAAAATATTTTTAGAGAAATTTACGCCTTAATTTTTTTTAATTCGACGCCCTGAATTTTTTTTTTTTAAATCTACGACTTTTTACACAAAAATTGTATTTAAAAAACCTACGCCTTAAAAAATATGTTTTCAAAAATTTAAGGTCCTCACAAAATATTTTTAAAAAATACTTGAATGCTTCCATAAAAATCAACGGCTGCAGAAGTTTGTTTTAAACATGTTTTTATATAAAATCTATCCTCGGCTGTTTTTTTAGATATATTTAAAAAAAATCCGAGTCAACTGAATGTAAAACAAAAATTGTTAAATCTGGTCTCTTCTGGTTCTTAACAAAAAAAAATACACAAAATATAAAAGATATTCATTAGGAACTAAGGATTTTTTCTATAGGATTCAATTGTCCTCAGACACCCTGACGGAATATTTTTATTTAAAAAAGTCTTCTCCAGTTGCTCAATGGCCCGAATTTGTTTCCATAGAAATGTTTTCATTATTCTTTACTTGATTTCAAAGAAAAAACTTCCCCGGCTTTAATTGATGCAGAGTACCCCCATACGTATGAGTAGCGACAGAACTTATACGCTCCGATGTCAACACCTTTGAAAAATTTAATTTTTAATAAAAAAAATCTACGCTCTGGTAGAATTTTTTTCCAACTTATACTTCTTAAAATATATATTTTTTATTAAATGCTCCCTTATATATCTCTCTTGTATTTATCGTCTCCTAACGACGTCATTGATTTTAACAACGATTCCGTTGTGAAATTTTCCGTTTATATTTTTGTTTTCAAGATAAAATGAAGGAAAGAGAGAGAGAAAGCTATATATAGTCCATCTCTTTTAACTATGAAAACATTGGAGAAGGCCACTGGAATGTTGTCACGTTTTCTTGGAAATATAACAACTTACTTTCGTTAAAACGGATACCAGTGCCACATGCCAAAAAAAAAACTTCGAAGATCAGATTGTGAAGCTGATGTGTTAATAGTTGTCGTTCCCAACCAAAAATAAAAGATAAGAGCATCAGATAAACAGATCAGATGCCTATCAAATTAATTAAAAATAGTTAAAGAGATAAAAAGTTGTAGATATTTGTTTTCCTTATCGAAAAGATTAGTCAGTTGTTGAGGTGCAAATGAAAATGGGAAATATTTTGAGGGGCAGACAGAGTCAGTGGGTCAGAAAACAAAATGTTGAGGAAATATAATTTATTTATGCTAAAGCCAGCAGTCCGATGTTCGAGTTAATGGAAACAAAGAGAATTTTGATTTTATTTGGGGAACACTGGCCTCAATGGCTGAGAATATTGGAACAAGGATGTATGGAAGTTTCTTTTTTTGGGGGAAAATATTTTTTATTTACTCCCGATTTGATTCTCAAAATATTTATTTAAAGAAAAGTTTTTTTAAATAACATTGGCATCTAATCTACAATAACAACAACATTTAAAAAAAAAATTATCATTCCAACATTGAGAAAAAAATTAGAGTTTATTAAAAACTAAAAAAACAAATTCTTTGTAATACTTACTGACACCCAGTGGCATAATGGCACTTTGCATATGACTAAACAGCTGACGATGATGATGATGGTGGTGGTGGCCACCCAATGTTGTTCCGCTGAAGAACATATGGTTCTGATGCAGGGCAATCTGTTGATGCTGATGGTGGTGAGGATGGGGATGATGATGTGACAGATGCGGGTGATGCGGATGATGAGAATGCGAATGGGGATGTGACTGTTGTGTGTGGTGGGATAAATGGTGGGTATGATGTGGCTGTTGATGGGAATGTTGCAACTGCCCCTGCTGATGATGGGTGGCGGCCATTAATTGATGTTGCCCGGCGGCTGACAAACGTTGCTGCTGCTGTTGATGATGTTGTTGCATTGTTACCAATTGCTGTTGTTGTTGCTGCTGCTGTTGATGTGTCACCTGCTGCTGCTGGTGCTGTTGTTGCTGCTGCTGCTGCGTTGACGTTTGATATTGATGATGTACGCCTCCACCTCCCCCTCCTGCCCCCGTCCCACCATTTGGTGATGTTGTACCACCACCCACTGCTGCGGCAGCCGCTGTTGTTGCTGCTGTGGCCGCTGCTGCAGCATATTGGCGCGCCGTCGCTGTGGCAACAGCCGCTGCTGCCGTGGCCGTTGCTGTAGCTAAAATGTGATGTGTAGTTGAGCGTTGATTTTGTACTGTATTTAGAGAGTGTATCGAGGCGTGTACCGCCGATTGATAGATAATACCATTATTCGACATTGCTGTCATCGACTGATGATGATACATGGTGGGTCCATTCGGTTGCGCCGAGACGGTGGCCATTGCGGTGGCGGTAACGGGTGCCAATGGCATTGCACGATAACCGGCCATTCTGCTTGATTTGTGCGCGATAAGTTTTAAGAATATTTATATTCTATGTGTGTGTGCGTATATTTTTTAACGACAGAAACGAAACTACGTTCCGGTTGAGAATAAAATTTGACGTAGTTTACTTTATTTTCATTTTGTAAAGTTTTTTTGTTTGTTTTTTTTTTTTCTTTAGTGTTTACGTATTGTTTTTCTAATCCTTGGTTCTAAATCCTAATAAAATTAGACAATAATGTAATATAATTTCTACCCATGGGCTTATTATTCTAAAATTACAAATATTATTCTTATATTACGTAGTAATTCTAATATTCTGAAAGCAACGCCATCTATACATCAAAATTCCTTTCTTATAGTAACTAATTGTGATATTCGATGGGGAGTTTCTTATGGAGTTATGTGATAAAAGGGTTTTCATGTTTCGAGAAAAATAGTATTCCAATCTACAGGCACTCTATCCTACACATCTATGTTCTCAGGGTATTATAGCTTTGTGCAGCCTCAACGGTTTGTTATGCCGCGAAATATTGGTCCTAAACCCACCTTTAAGTGTACCGATGGTCATATCCGCCTGTCCGTCCACCTGTCCATTATAATTTGTAAACACGACATACAGGCCACAGTTATGGACCAATTTTCACGAAATTTTGCATGCAGGTCAGGTTCTGGCCAAAGAAGACCCCTTTTGGAAATGACCTTCTGGTCGCTACAGAGGCCGCAATTATGACCAGAAAATTACGAAATTTTAAATATATAAAGGTTTTTTTAGTATTACTATTACCCCTCTAGTGGGCGAAAATGTCTCGCTGATCGCTTTGAAATTTTACATGAAGTTCCGGTTATGGTCAAGGACAACGTTTATAATATTCGGTGAAGTTGAGATATGAATGAACCAAAAACTATATGTTTATCAGAATTTCTAATCGCTCTCCAGGCCATCATTATATGCAGAACGTTACACATTTTACATGGTGAAGGGGATCTGACCAAATTCTTAAAATGGCTGTTAAGATGATGATCGGTCAGTAATCAATCAAAATCAAGCAAAATTGTATTTTATGGCGTAAATATTAACCTCGGGAAAACATGATTTGAAAAATATTGCAGGAGTAGAAAGTGCGGCTGTTGACCTATAATCGGGCAAGAAGGTACAAATATCGGTAATACATTACCCAGGTTCAGAACATAGAACCGCAGAAGGTTAGCTTTTAATATTTATCGATTTTTCTGGTCGCTCCAGAGGCCGCAATCATGGCCCAAACATATCGAATTTTTACGTGGAGAAGGGGATTGGGCCAAAAAACAAGTATGCCTGTTTTGATAAAGATTAGTCAATATTTAGCGGGTCAAATGGACACTGAATGATGATCAGATAATAATTTTGGGATGAAGTGGACCGAAAACTTATTTTTTGTGTGTTTTCGATTCGATCTATAGGCTACAATTATAAGCCGAACATTACAACATAACCCACGGTGATGGGAATGTGGACAAGTAATAAGAAGGGCTGTACTGAATATTGGTAATATTCGGAAAATATGTCAGTGTAAGGAAGGGGTGCTGTTGACCTCTAATCGGGAAAGAGGGTGCAACTATCATGAAATATTACCCAGGCTCGGAATAAAAATCGGCAAAAAGATAGAGTTCTGTGTTAGTTGTGTAGGGTATCGTATGGTCGGCCCCGCTCGACTATACTGCTCCGCTCATTGGTTTTATATAGAAAAATCCATTTATTCTGGATTTCTATCTCCACTTTTTGCAGATCCTTACAAATACCCTACTATTTGCAAAACATACAAGGTTCTGATGGCCCGTGTTGTAAATTCTATACTTTTCCGATGTTCCTTACATTTGGTGAATTATGTATTAACGTCGGAGTATCAAGGGGGTTTTTAATATTTTTTCTCTCAGGTTAATGATTAAATTTTCTAATGTAATTTATAAATTGACCGTAATAGCCCGTGCTTTCAAAGGTCCTTTAAAGACAATCGTCTCCTATTGTGGCTGAATTTTTCATATTAAATATAAAAATTATCTTTCCCACATACATTTGCGTCTTGAGAATTATTTTAATTTTACTTTGAACGTGGTATCAGAACGACTGTGACGAAGACAATTTTTTTTATTCACACAAAACTAAACAGTCCATAAATGTATTCTATATTACTATTTATAATTATAGAACAAAAACTTTCCATTGGCGTTACTTCTTCTAATCTTCTATTTTGTAAAAATTTCTTTGTTTGCTTTTCAAAAAAAAATCATACAAATATTTTTTACTATGTTATAAAATTATCAAAGAGCTTTTGCTTTTTCCGTTTCATGCTGGTAACAATTTCCATAATATTTCTTTTTATATTTTATATTTTTATATTTTGTTTAACTAATTAATCATTGTTTTATTATTGTAATTATTATTTATATTATTAAAATCTTAAAAATTTTATAATAATTGTTATATTTTTATTGCTTTATTTTTATTATAAAAATTGTATTATATATAGAAATTATTTAATATGCCGTTTTTTCACGTCACGAATTATGGCACGCTCGGCGTTGACGTCTAAACTCACACAACACGTTTTCTACAACTAAAAATAAGTGGCGAAGTTACAATTTGTCGGGGACACCAAAATTAAAACTTTTCTGTGTGTCTTCATTTGATTTAATCTTATTTCTAAATTCCAGCATCTTATCTTTAGAAATCAAAAAAAGATATATTCCTATCTTTTGTTGGGTAGTTAGCATCAACATAATTTATCGCCGATTTTTTTTTAATATTTTTCTCACACAGATGGGACAAGGTAGATAGGTAGATCATCTTGACTTGAGATAACAGACAGAATCAACAACAAAAACAACTAAAGAAGCAAAAAATGGTAAATACAGAATCTCTGGTCCACCGATCTTTTTTTTTTTTTTTTTTTTTTTTTAAGTGAAATGGAGCTCTATTCAGATATTCAATGATTCTTTTTTTAATTTAAAAAACTAGCATATACCCGCTACTTCGTTAGCGAATGTGGGATGTATTTAAAACCCTATATCGACCATTATTAAAATTTTAGAACCATTTAGTACGAATCAGGGACGTAGGCAGGGGGGCGGCGAAATGAATTTTTTTCGCAGTAAATTTTTGTTTGCAACGGCGAATTTTTTCATTTTGTACTACCGGGCCCCCCTCCCCCCGAAATGAAATCCTGTGTACGTTGCTGGTACGAATGTTCTACCATAGTATTTTCTCAAATCTACCTCTGTATCTCAACCCTACACACCCATTCCGACCGAAACAGAAATCTACCTCTATACTAAATTTGATGTAATTTGTACTCTTGTAGTACTCTTGTAGTACTTATTTTGAAAAAAAAAATCTGATATAGCTTCACCCAAATCCAAATTGAGTATCAGTTAGTGCACATTAATATAAATTTCCATAACTACCTAGTTTAGCAATCATAAGTACGAATTTCCAACACTTCCCACATACCCCAATCTTAATTCCAAATTTTGAGGATTCTATCGGTTCACCTAAATCCAATTTGTATCACATTTAGTACCACTTAGAACACATAAGTAAAAATTTCCACTACTACCTACATCATGCAATCCAATTGAAATCATGAATTAGATAAAATCTTAATTATAATCCAAATAGCATCAAAATTAGTATACAGTAGTACGAATTTCCAAAACTTCCTACTTAACCCAAACATACACTCCCACAGTGATCCTAAATCCAAGTTTCAGGATTCCAACTCTATTAGTTCACCCACAATTCAAATTGTAGCAAATTTAGTACATAGTTGTATCAATGGCCAAAACTTCCTACATACCGCAATCCTACACCCCCACAGTCATCCTAAATCCAAGTTTCAGGGTTCCAACTTTATCGCTTCACCCACAATTTAAATTTTACCGAATTTGGTACATTTAGTACAAATTTCTAAAACTTCCAACATATTTCAATCTTACACCTCAACAGTGATCCTGACTCAAAATTTCATGATTCTAGCTCTATTGGTTCACCGAAAATTCAAATTGTACCAAATTTAGTACCATTTAGTACCCATAAGTATTATTTTCTTAAAGTGAATCCTGACCCTAATCCTACATCCCTAAAATGATCCTAACTCCAAACTTCATTGTTCCAGCTCTATCGGTTCACCCAAATCCAAATTGTACCAATTATAGTACGATTTAGTACTTTTTGTACACATAAGTAAAAATTTCCAAAACTACGTACATATCCCAATCCTACACTCCGACGGTAATGTTAATTTCAATTTTCAGGATTCCAGCTCGATTTGTATCTCCAAATCAAATTTGTACCAAATATAGTACCATATAGTACTTTTCGTACACATGAGTACACGCTTTACAAACTCTCCTCATATCGACCCTATTCTTCAACGTATTTTACATTCCAAATTTCAAGTTTTTAGCTCACTCCATTCGCATGCTACGAAATTGTACCAAATTTAGTACATTTTCGTACTTTTCGGATAGTTATAGTACGAATTTCCAAA